GGAACTAGGGGGTATTATGCTACATGAAATAAGTCAATCAGAAAAAGACAATTATCATATGATCTCACTCATACATGGAATTTAAGAAACAAAACTGAGGATCATAGGGGAAGGGAAGGAAAAATAAGACAAAATCAGAGAGTGAGATAAACCATAAGAGATTCTTAATCCTAAGAAAGAAATTTAGGTTTGCTAGAGGGGAGGGAGGCGGGAGAATGAGGTAATGGGTGATGGACACTGAGGAGGGCACATGATGTAATGAGCACTGGGTATTATCTAAGACTGTTGGATCACTGAACTCTACTTCTGTAAAAAATAATACATTATATGTTAATTAACTGAATTTAATTTTTTTTAAAAAAGGATGAACATAGCAAAGTTTTCTACAACCATTATGATAAGTATTTAGCTCTATACTGATGCCTGTCTTGGCTGAATAAAATTTGATTTTGTGAGAAAAAAGATCAAAACCGTACTAAAGTAATATTCTATTTTTGGACTTATGAAAATAAAATTTATATTCTCTAATCAATTGAAAAAAAAAGAGTAGCCTTCTAATGCAAATACTGATAGAGGTTAAATAAAATGAGAATAGAAAAAATTTACTTAAATTTTGCCACATCAAAACTGTAAGTAACCCTAACTGACAAGAACTTTTAAAGTAGTGTTAAGAATTTTCTAGGTGATATAGTGAAGCTAGAGCTTATATTGAAGTGAATTCATGAATGTATAAGAGAAAAGCAAAAAATGGAACAGCAGCCAGAAAGAAACAAGTAAAACACGAATTTTAAGATTTTATTTATTTATTCATGAGACACATGCGCGCACGCACACACACGCACACACACACACAGGCAGAGACAGAGAGAAGCAGGCTTCACTCAGGAAGCCCGATGCAGGACTCGATCCCGGGACCCCAGGATCACACCCTGGGCCGAAGGCAGGTGCCAAACCGCTGAGCCACCCACGGATCCCCAAAACATGAATTTAAAAGGTAAGATACGGGATCCCTGGGTGGCTCAGTGGTTTAGTGCCTGCCTTCTGCCCAGGGCGTGATCCTGAAGTCACAGGATCGAATCCCACATCAGACGCCCTGCATGGAGCCTACTTCTCCCCTCTGCCTGTGCCTCTGCCTCTCTCTCTGTGTTTCTCATAAATAAATAAAATCTTAAAAAAAAAAAAGATAAGCTACTACAGCTTGTTTACGAGTAATGAGACTAACTCTATAAAAGAGAGATTAAGGATGTTAGAAACAGAACCAAAGGAATAAAAATCCTTGACAAGGTCAAGACAGAAGAGAGAAGATCCAGGTCATGAAGGCAATGTCCCAAAGTGACAGAGGAGGAAAGGATCCTGTTTATAGACTTTTGTTCTAGCTGATCCCTCTGCCTGGAATGTTGTTCTTTGTTCAAATCTTAACTTCCTAATGAGGCCCACTCAGAACCCATAATATGTATTTGCCTCTTTCTCTACTAGAACGTAAACTCAAGGTGGCAAAATTTTTTGTTTCATTCATTGATATATGCTGGGTACGCAGAACTATGTTGTAGCACCTAAAAGTTACTCAAGTATTTCATCAATCAATAAATCAACACCAATTCAATTTACTGTACTAAATTTTAATGTTTTCTTTGCCATAAAGTAGCAACATGTAACCACATTATTTGGACTAGCTACTGTCATATGACAGCTTCCCTACCACTGTGCATAAAAATGACATGACTCTGGCAGTAGAATGCTCCCAGAAAAAATTAATTGAAAACCTCGATTTTTACTCCAAAGCCAAATCCCACTAATCCCTCAAGGCCAGACTCAAGTTCTATCACCACTAAAACCTTTCCCAGGTTTACCAGTGTGAATCAGTTTCTTACATTTTTGAACCACAGCACATACTATGCATAATTTCATTTGACTTTTATTATAACATTTTCTCAGTTATTTTAAGCTATACTTACTTTTAAAGATATATCCATTTTATTTTATTTTTTTAAAAACCTTTTACTTTTTTTTAAAGATTTATTTATTTATGAGAGAGAGAGAGAGAGAGAGAGAGAGAGAGAGAGAGAGGCAGAGACACAGGCAGAGGGAGAAGCAGGCTCCATGTCGGGAGCCCGATGCAGGACTCGATCCCGGGTCTCCAGGTCGCGCCCTGGGCCAAAGGCAGGTGCCAAACCGCTGAGCCACTCAGGGATCCCCCCATTCATTTTATTTTTAAAAATATTTTATTTATTTATTGGAGAGAGAGAGAGAGAGAGAGGAGAAAGAGAGCACAAGTGGGGGAAGGGAGCAGAGGGAGAAACAGACTCTTCACTAAGCCTGACTTAGGACTCGATCCCAGGGGATCCCTGGGTGGTGCAGCGGTTTGGCGCCTGCCTTTGGCCCAGGGCACGATCCTGGAGACCCGGGATCGAGTCCCACGTTGGGCTCCTGGTGCATGGAGCCTGCTTCTCCCTCTGCCTGTGTCTCTGCCTCTCTCTCTCTGCATGATTATCATAAATAAATAAAAAAAATTTTAAAAAGGACTCGATCCCAGGACCTTGGGATCATAACCTAAGCCAAAGGCAGACACTAAACTGACTGAGCCACTCGGGCACACTATTCCATTCATTTTAGAGAAACAGAGACAGAGTGGAGGAAGAGACAAAGGGAATCCTGAAGCAGACTCCCTACTGAGCACGAAGCCCTACACAAGGCTCTATCCCAGAACTCTGAGATCATGACCTGAGCTGAAATCAAGTCCCCTGGTAAACCGAATGAGCCACACAGGTGCCCCTCAAGTTTTACTTGAAACTAAAATGTAAATTAAACTTGAGAGTTAGGGTGGTAACCCCATAAAATGGGCATTATAAGGGACAAACATCCAAATACATATTGACAAACAAAATCAAAGAAATTTTGTCTGAGGGAAACTTATGCTCTTAGCAGTTATCTGATCACCCGAAACATGTAGCTACAACTTAAATATCAGGAATGTATTAAAGTGTTTTCTTAAGGGAAGCATGCTAGAAATAATATTTTAAGTCAGCAATGATTATCACTCTGCTTTAACAATTTAAATTGCATACTAATCTATATATTATCTAATTTATAAGGGTTTGTTTTATTTTTATTTTATTTTTTTAAGATTGTATTTATTTGAGAGAAAGGGAGAGATAGAAAGAATGTGCACACAGGCACATGTGGGGCAAAGGGAGAAGCAGACTCTCCCCCCAAGCAGGGAGCCAGACTTGGTACTGGCTACTGGGAGTCCAGGATCAAGACCTCAGCCAAAGGCAGATGCTTAACCGACTGAGCCACCCAGGCACCCCTGTAAGGATTTATTTTAATTTTCTTTCAGAACCCTAGGACTTATATTTTCAGACTTAAGTTCAATCTTTTCCAAAGGTGAGAAAAAAATAAAAACTTTAATAAAAGAGTGAATATCAGGGCACTTGGGTGGCTCAGTGGCTGAGCATCTGCCTTTGGCTCAGGTCTGGGGTCCTGGGATCGAGTGCTGCCTCAGGCTCCCTGCAGTGAGCCTGCTTCTCCACCTCTCACTGTGTCTCTCATGAATAAATAAATAAAATCTTAATAAAAGAAGAGTGACTAGGGCAGCCCCGGTGGCGCAGTGGTTTAGTGCCGCCTGCAGCCTGGGGTGTGATCCTGGAGACCCAGGATCAAGTCCCACATCAGGCTTCCTGTGTGGAGCTTGCTTCTCCCTCTGCCTGTGTCTCTGCCCCTCTCTCTGTGTCTCTATGAATAAATAAAATCTTAAAAAAAAAAAAAGAGTGACTATCTCACAGGATTAAGTAAAGCTTTAAGTCATGACCCATCTTAAAGATCTACCAACAAGGAAAAAAGTATACTTTCCCAATAAAAACAACGTTTGTAGTGGGGTAAGTCTCCTACATCCCAGCCACTTAACTGTACACTTTATAAACATGAAAGTGAAATATTTTCCTAACATTATACAAAAAGAAACTAACATGGAATTAAGGAATTTGTCTAAAATGTACACCATGACTGATCCAAAAATAAAACAGCATTTTATCTATGACAGGCTTGGTTAACCTCTACAATAAATCCACTTGAATACTTAAGATTATTTTGTAGCTCATATTAAAATATTATCAGCTGTAAAGTGGTTTTTTGTTTTGTTTGGTTTTAATTAAGAAAGAGAAAAAAGGAGGATATTCAGACTCAACAGTAACATTTCATTCTTAGCTATGGGATCTTTTGGTACAAGGAACATTGACAATTTTGGCCCTCTTATTAGTACAGTACAGATACAAAATCCACTAAAAATACTAATAAATTTAGGACACCTGAGTGGCTCAGCAGTTGAGCGTCTGCCTTTGGCTCAGGGTGTGATCTTGGAGTCCTAGGATCAAGCCCCACATTGGGCTCTCTGCATGGAGCCTGCTTCTCCCTCTGCCTGTATCTCTGGCTCTCTCTCTCTCTCTCTCTCTCTGTATTTCTCATGAATAAATAAAATCTTTTAAAAAATACTAATAAATTTATAAGTGCCTACTGTGTGAATGGCACTATATTATACTATGGCATTGGAGCCATAATCAATACAATCCTCCCTAATCTTGCATGATAGCCATCTTTCTTTTCAAAGTTTGCCTTACTGTTTAAATGGACATTTTATACGAATACAATAAGATATAGAAGGATTTTTTTTAATATATTTATTTTGAGAGAGAAAACATGCACACGGTAGTGGTGGTGGATAAAGGAAGAGGGAGGGAAAGTTTGAAGCCAAGTCTGCACAGAGCCTAGTGTGGGGTTCAATCCCACAACCCTGAGATCAGGTCCTGACTACAAAACAAGAGTCAGACACTTAGCTGACATGCCATCTGGGTGTCCTAGCATATAGAAGAACTTCTGAATGTCTATCTCCTTTGAAGGGTTTATTATTTAGTTCTAGTCATTATATTTATATATGTACTTACACACATTCATATATAATACAAAAGACACAGAAAGTAAGAAAACTTAAAACTTTTCTGTCTTACCTTTCTTTACTCTTTCCTTACCACCCACAATTTGTTCTTCTTGTGGCATCTGAGATAATTTCTGCCTAAACAACTTCTCTAGAGCTTGTGCCATAAGAACAATGTCATCTCCAGGCTAGAAAATATATAAACATAAAGTTACACAATATGGTCACTACACCAAATTTCAACAATTCAGGCTACCTTAGAAGGGCAGTGACACAGTACTCTTCAACATTATTAAACAGTATTTACTGTTTCTAAATTAAGTGTAAGAAATAGAAGTATCAGTTTGTATTTTAAATTCTAACATTCTACCCTTTTAACTTCTAAAAATGACCCAGGTAACCTTTCTTAGTACTAGAGGATTACAATCCAACCAATCCTACTAATACGAAAAAGTAAAATTTCTACTTCACAAATAAGTTAAAACAAAACATGTTCATGGCTGTGCAAAGTGCATGATTTGACTTAATGTGATTCAGTTTTCAGTTAACTAAGTGACAGAATGATGCTGCAAAGCTAACTCAGTTTTTAAATCTAACTATCTGCTTAAAAGTCTTTGGCTTGCTTTATTCACCACTGATAAAAAAACTAAGTAAATTACAAAGCAAAAGCCTAAAATAGAGAACACTTATTTCAAAGTTAGGTACCTTAGTCTCCTGAAGTTACTGAACTTCATTTTAAAATGTTAAATGTAAAAGTTTACTTGGAATTGTTAAATTAAAATTAAGTTACCAATGGCACTTTCAGAATCCCATTATTTCTGATATTTTAAAAAATCCATACTGCCGAAGTCTTAAATTTAAGATGGCACTGATAGTTTGGGAATCAAAATTTCTATTACATTTCAGCATCAATAGTGACTTTAAATAGATGGGATATAAGTTTAAAAATGTTTAGATATATAACAGCTTAAAAAGAATGCAGCACTCTAGGAAACAGGAATACTATTTGGAGAAAAAGCTGAATATATAAATCCAGTTTTACAGATGAAAACAAAAGTGAAAGTTAAGTTTTACAGATGAAAACAAAAGTGAAAGTTAAGGTCAAATGTCCACATATATTATCAGACAAGCCAATGCATGAACACAAATGAAAATACTACTAACTAGAACATAACAGAATGTGTTAGATCTTTAAGTTAACTTGTCACAGAGTTCATATGTATGTAATTTGTTTGAATCCATACCATGAACATTTAACTAAGATTAGTATATAATAAAGTTTACCATTTATAACTGAAATGGTAGAAATATGGTAGAGAACGCTCTGAAATGATACAGAAACCTGCGATCATTGGTATTTCATTTTTCAAAACATAACACATCGTTACAGCTATTTAGGCAAAATGATGGCAAATAGATTGAATAAATACTGATACATGAAAATCATGAAATCCAGTAAAAAATAAACACTATTCTTAAAAATATGTAAAATACCCCAAATCAAGATTTGAAATCCGAAATCAGCACACTTTTTATATACATCTTCTATAAATAAGAGCAAAGAATTATTAAGTATAACATAAGGCTTACATACCTTGTTGTATAAATAACAATTTGAGAACATTACATTGAAGTCTTCTATACATTCTGAGGCTCTCACATAATATTTATGTTCTAAGCGCTTCTTAATTGTATTTAAATCCATTGGGGTCTTTATAATGGTGTAATAATCCTACAGTTTTTAAGAAGAAATTCTAAATGTTAGTAAGAACAAATTCACTGCAACTAAATTTAAGTTTAAACCAAAATTTTTGTGTTGAGAAACTAAGCAATGGCTTTTTTTTTTTCAGAGAAAATATAACAAATAAAGAATAACAAAGACAATGATGTAAAAGTAGAACTATCCTGGAAAATAAAAAGTGAAGGACATGAAGAAGAAAAACCTAGAATTTATTGAATCTGACAGATCCAGAGTATAATCCCAGTGCCATGACTTACTAACTATGCCATAAATTACTTAACCATCCTATTATCAGATGGCTGAAAATACCTAACAGAAGACCTAAAGTTGAATTCTATACATGATGCACATAAGTCTACCAAGAAGTATCAAGAGCAACTTCATGAAGGTCACCTTCATGACAACTTGCATCAAAAGGTCAAGCGAGAGCCCCCTGGGTGGCTCAGTTGGTTGGGCATCCAACTTCTGGTTTCAGCTCAGGTCATGATCTTGGGGCATGAGATCAAGCCCCATATCAGGCTCCATGCTCTGCAATGAGTCTGCTGGAGATTGTCTCCTTCTCCCTCTGCCCCTTCCCCTGCTCACACATGCACATACTCTCTCTCTAAATAGATAAATCTTTAAAAAAAAAAGTCACATTCAAAAAAAAAAAAAGTCAGATAACACATTCTATAACAAGAACACATGGACTATAATGTACCAAACTGTTAAAATAAGAATTTCAATGCTCAGAAAAATGAACTTTGTTGTCTAGGAAAAAATACTCATTGGGAAATTCTTCAGTGATACAGAATAAATTAGAGGTCTTTATTAAATTCAATATATTTTATAAGATTAAAGACTAGTTTCTTTCTTTCAGGGATTCACAAGGGTTTTCTCTTTTACAACCAACATAATCATAAGATATACTTACCGGCAACTTTAGTTTCACAGCATCCACAGGCTGCTGAAAAGGCCAGGAAAAGCTATGCTTCCATAAAGCCTTCAGGACAACTTTTTGTAGATACTGCAGTTGATTTGTTAATCGCCCATTTTTCTTTGTATTTAGATATTCTGGTGGTGGAGGGTTAACAATGGCTGTCTGTCGACTTGACAGAGACATTGTCAACTGGGTCAAATTCTGATATTACAATGTTGCCTATAAATACGTGTCCTTAAAACACAAAAACAAAACTTAGTTACCTTCAAAGCACATTTGAAATGGTTTCTATAGGAAGTAAAAAGTGTTAAAGAGTAATATTATACTTTACAGCACATCATGATTAAAACAAAAAAGCCAAATGATAAATAAATCCATTTGTAAACAAATACAAACCTTTGTCTGTATAGGTAAGAGTTGTTTCATTATGTGTGCCTTAGTTTTGGATGATTTAAGGGATTTCAAACTTTCACAGTATTACTTCTGCCTTTCTAAAACACAAATTGAGGTCTCAGCAGGGAAAGTCTTACGTTTCTGGTAAAAAATAATAGGAATGTTAAATGTAACAGTAGTATACAGTTACTCCAAAATTATTGATTCACTGAAAGCAGAAAAGCAAAATAAAGGATTTTTCTAGCTAACTTAAAGTGATTTATTTACTTAAGTAGGCTCCACCCCCAATGTGGGGCTTGAACTCAGGATCCTTGGATCAAGAGTCACCGACTCTTGTTTTATCAACTGAGCTAGGCAGGCACTCCTAAGGCAATTTACTTTAAAACCTATTAGAAATATGACACATGCTAAATGCTACTCTTTAGTGCATATTAAAACATCTAAAATTAAAAATAGAACTTTGTATTTCAGACAGACAGTATCTAACATTCCTAAACAGCATTATTAAAGGATAAAAAAGCAAAGGCACTACCAAGTATATCAGCAAAATGAAAAGTGCAATTACTTAATAGATCATCCATTTTTTGAGAATAGTGTTATTTTTAGCCAGTATATCTTTGTTTCCATTAAAACAGTGTTAGTTCTCAACTGCATATTAACCAGTTCTGAATCTTTAAAATTTATGATAAACAGGGCAGCCCTGATGGCCCAGCGGTTTGGCGCCACCTTCAGCCCGGGGTATGATCCTGGAAACCTGGAATCGAGTCCCTCGTCAGGCTCCCTGCATGGAGCCTGCTTCTCCCTCTGCCTGTGTCTCTGCTTCTTTCTGTCATGAATAAATAAAATCTTTTAAAAAATTATGATAAAATATGTAACATAAAATTTACCATCTTAACCATTTTTTTTCTTTTTAAGTAGGCTATATGCCCAGCATGGAGCCCAACCTAGGGCTTGAACTTGCAACCCTCAGATCAAGACCTGACCTGAGACAGAGCCAGACACTTAATCGACTGAGCGACCCAGGTGCTCCTATCATCTGACCATTTTTAAGTGTACAGTTCAGTAACGTTAAGTATATTCATTTTTGAGCAATTAATCTCTAGAACTTTTTCATCTTGCAAAACCAAAACTCTATACCTACTAAATAACTCCTCATTCTCATCTCTCCCCCAGTCCTGGCAACCACCACTCTTACTTGATTCTATGACTTTAACTACTCAGGGTCTCTTATGAGTAGAATCATATAGTATTTGTCTTTTTGTATGACTGTTTATCTTAGCATAATGTCCTCAAGATTAACCTATCCTGTAGCATGTCAGAATTTCCTTCATTTAATAAGGTTCAGTATTTCATTATATATATATATATATATATATATATACACACACACCATATTGTGTATCCATTCATTCATCAATAGACACGGGTTAACTTCCACCTCTTGGCTGTTGTGAATAGTGCTATTAACATCGGTGTATAATTATCACCTCAATAACCTATAATTCTTATGGATAGACCTCAGAAGTACAGAAGTGAGAAGTGAGGGATCATATGGTAAGTTGTTTTTTTTTAAATCTGGTACTGTTTCCCACAGCACCTGCAACACCACATTCTCACCAAGAGTCTACCGGGTTCTAGTTTCACCATATCCTCACAACCCTTTCCATTTTGTTTTTTTAACAGCAGCCGTTCTAATAGGTGTGAGTTACTGTGGATCATTTTAAAAATACCAATGCCCAGGCACTGGAGATAAGGCTTGCAAATCTGCTTGTTTTTTAAATTTCCCTAGTGCTTGTGATGTGTAGCCAGGATCAAGAAACACTATGCTGAAATCAATTAACTTGGAGGTGATTATCAATCTTGTAATTCATCACACTTCATTACACTCTTCTCATGTTACACAAACATAAAAACTTTTTTTTTAAGATTTTATTTATTTATTCATGAGAGACACAGAGAGAGAGGTAAAGACATAGGCAGAGGGAGAAGCAGGCTCCCCACAGGGAGCCCAATGCAGGACTCAAACCCAGGATCCTGGGATCATGACCTGAGCCAAAAGCAGATGCTCAATGTGTAGGAGATATCAGAAAGGGACACAGAACATAAAGACTTCTAACTCTGGGAAATGAACTAGGGGTGGTGGAAGGGGAGGAGGGCGGGGGGTGGGGGTGAATGGGTGACGGGCACGGAGGGGGACACTTGACGGGATGAGCACTGGGTGTTATTCTGTATTTTGGTAAATTGAACACCAATAAAAATTAATTTATAAAAAAAAAAAAAAAAAAAAAAAAAAAAAGCAGATGCTCAACCACTGAGCCACCCAGGCACTCTATGAACTAAAACTTAAAACTCTTAATGTCATTAAGAACAAAGAAGATATTTTAGTCTTGCAACTGAAACTGGTTCTTACTGTTTTATAATTATTTCAAGTTAGTCTATCTTTGGAGTGTCCCAATCACTATATCCTCCCTCTTTCACAAAGATAACCACTATGATCAATTCTATCCCCTTAAATTGTGATTATTTTGACCTTTACATAAATATAGTACTTACTATATATTACAGTCTGGCTTTGCATCAATGTTATGTTTGTGAGATTTAACTATGTTATTCATTCATCTTCATTGCTGTATAGTATTCTATGATTGAATTATACCAGTCTATCCATTCTTGTTGTAACTTTTGGGTTGTGTCCAATGTTTGATAAATAACGCTGCCATGAACATGATTTGTAATGAAAATGTGCTTGCATTATGTTGAGTATAAACCCAGAAGTAAAATTGTTGGGTCTGAGGTTATATATGTGTTCAACTTTAGTAGATAACCAGTTTTCCAAAATGTACCAATTTATATGCACAACAGAAATCTGAGAATCCTACCTTCCCCACATTCTTGTCAATATTTGGTATCAGTTTGTTCCATTTCAGCCATTCTGGTGAGGGTATAACGGGATCTCATTGTATTTCACTGAGGATCCATATGAAACATCTTTTTAATATGTCTATTTATCACATGAGTATCTTCTTCAATCACCTGTTGAAGAGTCCTACCCATTTTTCTTTTGGATTGTCTGCTATTATCTTATTTTTAGTTCTTCATATAGTCTGAATACAAAGTCCTTGTTGTGTGTTCTAAATATCTTCTCCATGCTTTTCCCTCACGACCTCATTTTTAGTAGGTATTCTTATCCCCTCCTTCCCAATGCTAATCCATCAGCCATTACTCTGCTTCACCACTACCATGTTTGTCTACTTGTTTACAGTCTCTCAACCGTCCCTCCCTCCTTCCCAGAATGTAAGAGGATCTCAATTTACAAGAGACCCTTTAAAAATTAACTTTCCTTAGCTTATTTCCTTTTCTGTATTTCATAAGTGCCTCATCTCTTTTCCATGAAGATCTTCTTTCCCCTTTTCCAGAATCCTACTATTTCATTAATTATTCCTTTATTTCCATTATTGTTTCTTCTTTTATTAGGTTTAGGAAGGCTTTCCTCTACTTAAAGATCATAAAATACATAATTTTATTTCCTGCTCTTCTTAAGACTACATTTTCTTCACTTAATTCTTTTTTTGTAATTAATTTTTGCTGGTATTTCTGTCTATGGATATGCTCTAGTCAGTGTCTTAAATTATTTCCCTAAAAACACCTTTCCACACAAAAACCTGCACACAGGTGTTTATAGCAGCTTTATTCAAAAATTGCCAAAACTTGGAAGCAACCAAGATGTCCTTCAGTAGGAGAATGGATAAACTGGAACAACATCCAGACAATGGAATATTATCAGTGCTAAAAAGAAATAAACCATCAAGCCATGAAAAGACATGGAGGGATTTTAAATGTATATAAGCAAAAGAAGCCAATCTGAAAAGACTACATACTATATGACTCCAACTATATGACATTCTGGAAAAGGCAAACCTAAGGAGACAGCAAAAAGGTCAGTGGTTGCCAGGAGTTGAGGAGAGGGAAGAATAAAAAGAGAACAGGATTTTTAGGGCTTGTGAAAAGCCTGTATTAGCTCATGATGATGGATACATGCCATTATATATTTGCCCAAACACTTAGAATGTACAATACCAAGAGTGAACTCTAATGCAAACTAAGGTCTTTGGGTGATAGTATCATTCATTGTAGGTTCATCTACTATAACAAATGTACCACTCTGGTGGAGGATGTTGATAATGGGGGAGGGCAGCATATGTGGGAGTCAGTAGGTATATAGGAAATCTCTGTATCTTTCAACTTTGCAGTGAACCTAAAACTGCTCTAAAAAATAAGGACTTAGGGGTGCCTGGGCGGTGCCGTAGGTTAAGTGTCCAACTCTTGATTTTGGCTCAGGTCATGATCTCAGGTCATAAGATCAAGCCTCATGTCAGGCTCTGTGCTCAGCATTGAATCTCCGGAAGATTCTCTCTCCCTCCACCCCCACCTCTTAAGAAATAAGGACCTAAAGAAAACACCTTTCTTGCTACATGCTTATTAACATAGAAAACAGTCAATCAACCAGCCGTGCGTACAAAATATATCCATCTGGTTTCTCCAACCCCCTTATGAAACTGCATTTCCAAAGATCACTAACACCTTGAAATATTCCAAAGCCCTCACTGTCTTCCTCAATTACCTTCCCAAACTTCTCTGTAGTATTTAAAATGGCTAACAACTCTCTTAAAATTCTTCTCCTAGGGCACCTGGGTGGCTCAGTGGTTGAGTGTCTGCCTTTGGCTAAGGTCATGATCCTTTGATGGAGTCCCACAGCGGGCTCCCCACAGGGAGCCTGCTTCTCCCTCTGCCTG